TGGAATCAAGAGAAAGGGGATTTGTACTGTTCTACAAGAAAAGAAAAAATGCCAATGGGGTATACTATAAACATTTGCATGCTAGGTCAAGTGAATAGTGCATTCCACATTTGCTGTGTGGCAGTTCATGTGTATAAAGTCTGTGTAGATGTACATGTAGTCTGTAGCATTGACTTCTCCAACACACCTTATCAGCAGAGTTGTTCTTCACAATAGGGACTCTTGATTAGAAATTGGGCCAGTGATAGGTGGGGCATAAAAAAATCTGTGAAATGTCAAGACTTCCAATAATTACCAAAAATAATAAGGTGTGAACAAGCTGTTGGTTTATAGTTATATTTAAAAAATCTCACTAGAGATGTAATAAAAATGGTCTCAGGATTTGTGAAAAAAGCCTTATGATCACTTCATTGTTTTGTATTCATAGCCCCAACATTGCCCATATCCAGGGTGACAGATTCCCTACAAACTGATCACAAGGCTCTTAATATGCTCTACAGCACATCATATTCCAACAGGCAAATACAAACAAAACCGCAGTTTATTAAGTTTTAAAGAAGCTTTAACATTTTTCAAAGCGTCTTTTGGTGCAATTCATTAACAAACACATTCTAGGAGAGAAAAAAAAAACATAAGCCACAACATTTTCTTGTCCTTAAATTTTAGTTTCAGACATCGTAAAATGCCAACATAATAAAAACAAAATAAAAAAACACACACCACAAAAACACATTTTATTCAATAGCATATTTGGAGAGATGCCTGTGTCCTTCAATATCATATATATATATATATTCTTTATATATATATATTTATAGAAATCTTTTCACATGGAAGAAATGTTCATATGTTGACTACATACAGACCTCTCCCCCATTCAGCAAGAAGTATCATATAAAGCTCTATGAGCATCTGAAGGTGTCAAACCACGTACTCTTCTGAAGGGGGAATCGCTGTGAAGTGGCATTTTTGCATTCTTTATTTTTTTTACTCCCCATACTACATGACAAAGTGCTATTTAACATCTCTCCTGTCAGGAGGCAATCTAACAGCAAAGTTGTAAGTCAGAGTTTTTAAATCCATTCCCTGGCGGGTGACAATAATGCTCATCTTCCAAAAACAAATAGGTAATTTTCAATATTGATAATAGGTAACAGATTACAAAAAGCTCACCTATGTAACATATAACAGATATTCCAAATCCTATCTTCCATAAACTAAGAGGTATAACAACCCTCTTATGTGGCGATTTATTCAAGAAACAAATTTTTTTTCCAATAAAAAAAAAAAAAAAAAAGAACATTCGAAAAAAAATTAGTTTTTGACCAAACTGATTTTCAATGTGTTGCGCAATCTTCTTTTACATGAACATTTAAACAATCAAATCTGTGATTGTTTATTGTTACCTACATGGCCTCTTCTGTAAAGAGATCTGGAACATGAGCACTAGTCTATGGCCACCAAGGACTGGAGAAACACTCTTGTAGAACACTCTGCCAGAAAATGGATAGCTTTACAACACCTGCTCTTACCAGAGTAGAGCATAGAAAAAAAAAAATCTAGTTTACTGTTTTTCCTAAAGAATTCCTGCAGACATTTGCAGATTAGAGAGGAACTGCAGGTTGATGTCACATTTTTGTATTTGCTCCTACACAATCAGTATGGTGCACAGCCCCTGGTGTGCTTACATCTTGCTGCCTGCCCTGTACAGTAGAACATGTGTATTGACAATTAACCCTTTTTTGCAGCTAGAGTTAAAGGGCAAAAAAAATTGAGCAGAATTGTTTCCTTTTTTTTTTTATATATCTTTGGGACAATTTTGCATCCAAAAGAAGTGAATGAAAACAACATTCTTCACAGAAAGAAACTTTGTCAGTCTCTACTCTTATTGTGTTTGTAAACCTTTTATAAACTGTTCCTCCATCCGGCGTGCCAAAAAAAAAAAGAGAAAAGCAAAAAAAAAAAAAAGCGCACGGCTATGTGCTAGAAATATCAGCAACATAATGCACATGTGTTACTGGTCACTCAGACAGCCAAGTTAAAAAAAAAAAAAAAAACTAAAACACAAAACCAATGACCCGCTTGGGGTGCCCAAATATTAAGGATTGTCCCAGTGCCTGTAACAGACAAATTCTAACTCTGAAGATGAAAGAGGGGCTGTGCCCTCCCATGTCACAGTCTGTTTTCCTGCCCATCCAAGGGCAGTGTATGGCAGACAGAGGTAGCATTATGAAATAACACATAAAATATTATTGATTAAAAGACCCCTCCCCGCAACACACAGAAACTGGAGTTCAAATACACAGGTCGTACTGTCTGAAGTAATCCCCTGTCTGCTTTGCCAGAAGAGCGAGAAAAGGGCGTTCTTATATTTGTAAAGGAAAAAAAAATTATTCTCGTTTCAAAAACCAAATAAACCAAAGCGAATTGTAGCTCCTGTCTCAGACTTGGCTTGTGCATAGATCAGGATCCAAAAAAAATTTGCTCCAGTACCTCAATGGATTGAGGCCCAGCTGGTACTGAAGGCATTTAAAACCATCCCTGCTGCAACAACCCACAAGGCAGAACAATTCATGGGCCATTCTAGCAGAGAGGTCTGACACCAGCTGAAGCAGAGATCCAACCCACACATGTGATAAAACTTCAATACCTATCCCCCCTTCAAGTCTATCCTGCCCTCTTATTTCAGTAAGACCAGGATGCACCCCCAAAGAGTCAAGAAGGAACAGGAAATATACAAATTCTTTGAAGTTACAGGTCATGTCTGTCTGAACAATGTTTATCCCATCAGCTTGCAGAAAGGTATCTTGTTCTATTTTATTTCCTTAACAGAGACCCAGGAAAATCACGGTTTGTGTTTCAACATAAAGCAATATTTCTTTTTTTTTTTTTTTTTTTTTTTGTATAACATAAAGCACTCTTGAAACATTTCAAGTCCATTATTTGGTAAATATGTAACTGCTACAAACAGGAATTGTTTGTCTTCCTCTGTTACGTTTTCAGTTCTTCCCCCTTAAGTTTTCAGTGCCTGGAGTTGAATAATCTCTTTTCAGTTTTTTTTTTTATTTTTTATTTTTTTTATTTTTCATAAAAATACAATGAAATGGTTGTGTGGCGTTCTACTCCTCTGGAAATGTCAAATTTTCCTGAGAAAGATATCCACGATGTGCAAGATTGTGACTTAAAAAAAAAATATTTTTTAATTTTCGCTTACCGATGAAAAGAAATGTTTGACAAAAATGTAAAATATAAAAAAAGGGAAAAAAAAAAATAAAAATGTTGCACAACAATGGCTAAAGTTATTCTTTAATAAAACACTGGTACTTTCCCCCGAGGTGTAAAGGAATTTCTATTTAAAATTTGAAAATAGATTTTTTTTTTTATTTTTTTTTTTTTTTAATTTCGATGGAAGATTTTTTCAGTTTTTTTTTTTTATAGTTTTGCTGTTTTTTTTTTTTTTACTTTTTCATTTTACTTATTTTTGGAGAAAAGCAGAAAAACAGAAGATTTCGAAATAAAAAGTTTTGTAAACAGGTTAGAGCCAAGACTGGCATCTGCTATTAGATGCAGTTCAAAACCTGCATAAGATGCAGTGTTGCCTTATGGGTTCTGCTTGTGGCGACCGCCCAGCTTTTATAGTCCATTAGCTACAGCAAGCTACCACAAATAAATGCAAGTCTCCAGTAATATGCATTACTTCCCAATGATGAATCAATGGAAAGGTAGACAAACATTTGTAAGTTTTCTTTTTTTTTTTCTTCAGACATAAGCACAAGGTAAATGTTTTTTTTTCTTCACAAATAAGTCCTTGAGTAAACATAGATACGTGTTAGCACTCCCTCTCTTCATACATTTCTTTCAATTTTCTATTCAGTTGGGTCAACTGCAAGGTCTGGATGAGGAGTTAAAACTTCAGTGCAAAGTTAAAAAGAGGACAAAATGTAATAAAAAGGAAGTAAGGTACTTTAAAGTAAGAGATAAATGTCTGTTTCTGTGTATGTGCACAGGGATGGACTTCAAATGGTTGTAAAGGCATAAAGGAGTTATTAGAAAAAGGAAAGACTTGTTTCGGTATTAATTTTTCTGTGCGTGCATTTTTTATACTTCTGCCTCTTCCCTATGGATACAATTTGATGCGTCTCTCTGCAATTGCATAAAACTTGCACAATCAGGGTTGGGTACAAGCCGAATTCCCGGATAATATCCCATTATATGGTGTAGATCCGCTGTTTTCAAGTATATCTAACAGCTGATATGATTCTTCTGAGTGTTTTGCAGGGATCCAGATATTTAGAAAAGATAGCAAAAAAAAGAAAAGAAAAGAAAAATGGAAATAAAGGAACTATGACAGGAGCAGAGGCTCTGGAAAAAGTTATGTGCATAGGCAGATCCATGGGGTAATCAAACTAGAGCCATCCTTCCTTGCTTTCTGTATGAATACTAATCCACCTAAGTGCGTATACAGAACTGCCGGAATACGCAGAGCTTGCTGCTGCTCCCCATTTGATAGGCTCTGTCTGATGTGCATATAAGTCCAAGGCTTATTTCAAAATAGGCTTTTTTTTTTTTACTCCCATCCCCTATTCCCCTTGCCCCCAAACTAACCCTCTTCATTCCTGTCAAATGAAAGTGCCCTTGCGTTCTAGTCCCAGCAGAAGCAGCGTTGATCATTTTTTTTTTTTTTTTTTCTTTTAACTCTTTGAACACTTTAAAAACATAAAAAAAGCTTGACCACGTCTACTAAGTGACTCTTCGCCTCTCTCCTCAACCCTTCCTTTCCCATCCCTCCCACAATCCCATACTGTTACTTGAAACAGTTCTCAAGGGTGCAGTAGGGAGGATGACCAGGAAAAGATACTGCATGGAGAGAAGACATGGGGCCTGAAGAAGCTGAATTCCTCACAGATCATGGACTGGAAAGATTGGATATTATTTGTCTTGAAGTTTTTCTTTTAGTGCTGATGATTAATAAATTTATAGGACCTATGTCCAATTTTCTTTCAAATGGATTCCCCGCTCAGCAAATCTCCTGGTAACAGAGTATTGAGAGGTGTTGGACTGCGAATTATCCTGGCATCATCTGATCCAGGTGGGCCCCACAAGCTGCTGGAATACTGCGGGACTCCACCCCACAGAAGATCATTGCCTCCCTTGGCACTCAAACAAGGAGGATTCCAGTGAGCAGCATCATTGCGAACCATGGTGTGTGAGCCCCCGTTGCCACCCAGCCGGGGCTGACTATTCCCAGTGTTAGACTGCCAACTGGAAGTCGGGGGCATAGGTTGCCCTTGTGCCAAGAAAAACGGTTTACTTCTTCTTCACCAGCGAATTCTGCCAGAATAGTAGTGTTACCCAGGACACACCTATGCGAAAAGCAAAATAGCGGTAAGCAAATAATGAAAAGCAATCTATACATCCTGATTAATGAACAAATAATTAAAAGGCTGAGATGCATTGTAATGAAAATGGACAACCACAGCTGCCATAATTCAAAGGAAAATATACTATATTGCCAAAAGTATTAGGACACCCCTCCAAATCATTGGATTAAGATGTTCCAATCACCTCCATGGCCACAGTTGTATAAAATCAAGCCCCTAGACATGCAGACTGCTTCTACAAACATTTGTGAAAGAATGGGCTACTCTCAGGAGCTCAGTGAATTCAAGCGTGGTACCGTGATAGGTTGTCACCTGTGTAATAAGTCCCTTTGTGAAGTTTTCTGGCTACTAAATATTCCACGATCAACTGTTAGTGGGATTATAACAAAGTGGAAGCAAATGGGGACAACAGCAACTCAGCCACCAAGTGGTAGGCCACGTAAAATGACAGACCAGGGTCAGCACATGCTGAAGCGCACAGTACGCAGAAGTCGCCAACTGTCTGCAGAGTCAATAACTAAAGACCTCCAAACTTCATGTGGCCTTCAGATTAGCACAACAACAGAGTGTAGAGAGCTTCATGGAATGGACTTCCATGGCCGAGCAGCTGCATCCAAGCCTTACATCACCATCAGTAATACAAAGCGCCGGATGCAGTGGTGTAAAGCACGCCGCCACTGGACTCTAGAGCAGTCACACTTCTCTGTCTGGCAATCCGATGGATAAGTCTGGGTTCGGCAGTTACCAGGTGGAGAGGGGGTTATGGTGTGCGTTTTTTTTTTCAGGGGTTGACCTTGGCTCATTAGTTCCAGTGAAGGGAACTCTTAAGGCGTCAGCATACCAAGACATTTTGGACAATTTCATGCTCCCAACTTTGTGGGACCAGTTTTGGGATGGCCCCTTCCTGTTCAAACATAATTGCGCACCAGTGCACAAAGCAAGGTCCATAAAGACATGGATGAGCCAGTTTGGGGTGGAGGAACTTGACTGGCCTGCACCTAGTCCTGACCTCAACCTGATTAAAACACCTTTGGGATGAATTAGAGTGGAGGCTGCGAGCCAGGCCTTCTCATCCCACATCAGTGCCTGACCTCACAAATACGCTTCTGGAAGAACGGTCAAACACTCCCATAGACACACTCCTAAACCTTGTGGACAGCCTTCCCAGAAGAGTTGAAGCTGTTATAGCTGCAAAGGGTGGGCCAACTCAATATTGAACCCTACGGACCAAGACTGGGATGCCATTAAAGTTAATTTGCGTGTAAAGGCAGGGGTTCCAATAGTTTTTGGCAATATAATGTATATAAAAGAGTGACTGCCCAAAGTGCCTACTAATTTTGTCAACAAAGAAGATGTTGGTTGGTTACAATTTTATAGCAAAGAAAAAAACATAACCACCCCCCCCAAAAAAAACAAAATAAAACCTGTGCAAAACACCACATGCATAATGATGCACTAGGCAAGATTAATATATAAATAGCAATGAAAGAGATACAGTGGGTAGGGAAAACAAACAATCACCCCCCTTTAAGATAATCACATTTTGTTGATTTGCAGCCTGAAATGAAGACAGACACAGTTTTTGTTTTATCCAGCTGTATTTACCCATGCAACGTATAATATCTAAGTGAAAGATATAACACCAAAATGTCAGAAAAAAAAAAAAAGTTCAAAAACAGAATCACCCGACCTAAAAATGACTTGTAAACTCAATCAGGTGTAGTTAATCACCTTCTCAATGGCACACGAAGCCATTTGACTTTCAACTGTTATCAGTTGTGGTCATTTTTATTAGATCAGCATGAAAAGAGCTTTCCTGGAACATTTCAGTTCCTCGTAGTGCAACTGAAGCAAACAATCAATTATGGGTGGCAAAGCACTTTCAAAAGATCTCCAGGATAAAGTTGTGGACAGGCACAAGTCAGGAGATGGATTCAAAAAAATGTCAAAGGCTTTATCAATGCCAAGAAGCACATGTGAAGTATATTATTAAGAAGTGGAAGGTATTTGGTATGACACAGACCATCCATGGATCAGGATGTTGCTCCAAACTGGATGAAAGAGCCAAGAGGAAACTGGTCAGAGAGACTTCCAAGAGGCCTACAGCAACTCTGAAACAGTTACAGGAATTTATAACAAAACGTGGTCATTGTGTGAATGTGATATCACAAATTCTCCACAAAAGTGGCTGGTATGGGAGGGTTGGAAGAAAAAAGCCACTCCTCAAGAAAGGCCACATGCAGTCATGACTGAGCTTTACCAAAACGCACCTTGAAGATTCTGAGGCCACATGGAAAACGGTGTTATGGTCTGATTTAATTTAATTATTTGGTCTCAATACTAAACAATATGTCTGGTGGAAATCCAATACAGCTCACCTTCCAAATACCACCATTCCTACAGTAAAGCATGGAGGTGGTATTATCCTGTTATTGGGGTGTTTCTCTGCAGCTGGGACTGGAGCACTTGTCAGGATAGAAGGAAAAATGGATGGGGCAAAATACCATCAAATTCTTGAGGAAAAGCTGGTCTGTCAGATAGTTGTCAATGGGAAGGTTTACCTTCCAACATTACAATGACCTAAAGTACACAGCAAAAATGACCACACAGTGGTTGAAGGAGAAAATGGTGAATGTCCTTGCATGGCCTAGTCAGAGCCCAGACTTAAACCCCATCGAAAATCTGTGGAATGACTTGAAGACTGCAGTCCACAAATGGTCAACATCAAATCTAACTGAACTTGAGCAATTCTGCAAAGAAGAGTGGGCAAATATTCTAAGTCTAGATGTGCAAAGTTAGTAGAGACATATCCCAACAGAGTAAAGGCTGGAATTAAAGCAAAAGGTGATTCAACAAACTGACAACATACTGACACAAAGGGTTGATCCTTCTTCAAACGCAGCGATTCTGTTTTTGATTTTTTTTTTTAATTTCTGACATGCTGGTGTTATATCTTTCACTTGGATGTTATAAGTTGCAATGCATAAATAAAGCTGGATAAAACAAAAACTGTGTCTTCACTGCAGGTTGCAAAGCAACAAAATATTATTTTAAAGGGGGTGATTCTTTTCTGTAAATAACTTACATATGTAGAGACTTCTGTGCCTTGGCAGCCTCCTCCTTTGAGCTGTACCTGACCACTGCATTGCCTTGAGTAAGGTTCAGGTGGAATGTTATCAGTGGGCCATGTTGAAGACACAGCGTTCTCAATGTGGAGCCATCAATCTGATGAATAAAGGTCAGAATAAAAAAAAACTGCAATACACGACCAAGAGAAGTGACTTAATAGGGGGGATTTATTATTGGAGTTACATTGTGAGTTAAAATGACCCCTAAAATAGAAACTTGGGCTAAACAAATATTTTCTATATACAAGAGGCTTGTTTATTCTTACTTGAATCTTTGAGCCCTCTGTGTAGCAATCCAGCAAGAAACAACTCCTGCGGGTTGCCTCTGTGGAGGAGTTTCCTGTAATAATGACAGGTCACTGCTCTCTTTTCATGTGCAGAGTGACCGATCATGCATTCGTACAGCCAACCCCTACCTGTAGCAGTCGTAGAGCAACCAAATACTTGCCTCTTACCCATAGTGGTCTCCTTCTGGGTTACACTGGCCCACTGCTTTCCTGCTACCTGTGCCTTTCCACCACAGCCAAGGGCAGGACTTGTGTGAAAAGAAGTGACTAGCTGCTTCGCCAACTTTGAATGTGCAGGGAAGTAGCGAGGAAGTGGTGGACTAGTCAGACCTGGAAGCAGACTTGCTCTAGGTTACAGGTAAGTATCTGGCTGCTCTTCCAGGTAGTAGAGAGCACAGAAGACCCTGTAGGTATTTGGCATTAAGTATATTAACCTGTTCTTGCCAGCTGTACAGAATTATGTGTCCAAAATGTAAACATTTCTGAGCTGAGAGCATGTGCCCTGCACGCTTTTCCAGCACGGTTGCTGGTGAGTGCCGGACAGCTTTTTATACTTTTCAGCTTTTGATGGCTACTTGCAATCTGTAGCTTTACGATCACATGACCGCTGTGACTGTCAGAGTTTCACATGATCAGAATGCCCGCCTTCGCCTCCCGGCATTCATAACCTCTGAAAGGGCCGGGAGGTGGCGGGAAAGATTTAAAAGTGCCTACTAGAAAGTAAATCTAAATGTTCAAAGTGATTGTAAAGGATCAAAAAAAAAAAAAAAAAAAATTAACATGTCATACTTACCTGCTCTGCGCAATGGCTTTGCACAGTGCAGCACTGATCTTCCTCCTTCTTGGGTCCTCTGCTGGCGTTCCTGGCTCCTCCTCCCCCTGCCCAGTGCTCCATAGCAAGGCACTTGCTCTGGGGGGTACCAGTGCAGGCCCGCCCCTGAGCCTGCTCTGTGTGTCCATAGACACAGAAACGCAGCTTGGCCCTGCACCCGCTGGCTTCCGCTGCTGTTTCTGAGCCTATGAAGGAGAGAGCCTCTGCTCTCATGGACAGCACTGGATTGAGATCAGGTAAATAAGTATAAGGTGGGGCAATGGGGGAAGCTGTATGCAGAAGGTTTTTTACCTTAATGCATGAACTGCATTAAGGTAAAAAACCTTCATCCCTTAGAACCACTTTAACAGGAGATCTTTTCTGTACAGGAGTCTAACCTAATCTTTTGCAAGGTCAAACGGGTAGGAATGGCTTCTAAAAAACGATAAAATTACAGTCGCTACAAAAAAACACAATATGAAAAAAATATTCTTAACCCAAAAGTAGACTGGATAAAAAGTACCCAAGATGTAAACTACATTCTACACTGGAAACACTAGGGTGATTTAACATAATGACTTGCCATGATTTACCCTATATAAATATATTACAAGCCAAGGCAGGTGAATAACAGCATGTGTGTGATTGTTTAACAGCTAAAGAAACATGCTTGAACACTTTAAACAAACAAAAACTAACAAAAAAAAACATAAATCTACTATTCAAAAAGTTTATTGCTTATAAACAGATGACAGAGTGAATCTGTGCTTTGCCCATGCCCCTTACCCATACAGTACATACTCACCTTCCCTTTACTCCATTGATTTTCTGGGAGCAAAGAGTATTTCTAGATATGAGACAACATGTGACATAGCATGTTCCATCCAGTGTGACTAGCCAATGGTCTCTCAGGCACACAGAGTGGTCAAATAATGGCAGGACAGAGTCACTTGCGCTACGTAAGCCGCAAGTGGCAACTTGGAATTTACACAGAGCTACTTTTCTTCATTGCTGCTAGCAAGACTGACAGGGCAATGAAGGGAAGAGAAGGCAAGTAAAAGCTTGCTTTGTGACCAGTATTTAAGTGAAACTGCTGCTTTGACCTGTGAAGGAAAAGCACAGGTTCACTTTTAGAAGGAATATTCTACAAGTATTCCTACTACCTGTGGAGTGAGGTTACGCAGGACCAGCCAGCTACTTGTTCTTCCTGAACTATCTGTGCTCCAGGTGGAACCTGAAAAGATAACATACAGCAGTAAGAATGGATTGTTAGAATTTTAAAGGTAGCTAATGTGAGATACCTTAGAGGCTATTTTTTATAAGCAGTAAGAAATGTTAGTCATACCTGTCGAATAGGAGCTGGTCCAGCCCAGTTGATTTGAGCCCCAGGCAGAAGAGGGTTTGGCATTGGTTAGACCAGGTGGCGGTCTGGTTGGGGCTGTAGTGTTTCTCGGTACCTTCCACAGCTCATGAGACAACGATGCTTGAGTGTGGGAAATAGGGCTGGATGACCAAGTGGACTTTATATCAGATAGTTTAGCTAAAAATGTAGAGAGAAATGTAAACTTTTTTTTTTACAAATGTCACATTAAAAGTAGTATAGACAATAGTGTACGAAATAAAAGCCTTATGCTAAACCTGCCAATACAGTAGCAGTTTATAATACTTTACCTGGCAGCTGGGAATACGGATATGACCATTCAATGTGTCAAATCTCCAGGTTGCACATGCAAGTCTAGAAACATTTTGTAATACTGACCACATTACATACCAATATCATATCCAATCATAGTCAAGAGTGCCATTCTGTCACTACAAAATGCTATTTAAAAGTGCAAAATGAGCCAAGCCAATAAAATCAAACCATTGATAAAGGTCTTTGACCTCTTATGTCACCCAGAGATATGACACTTGAAATTAAAATGACAATAATGTTTAAAAAGATAAACAGAAATCTCTGGTTTTCATCTGGTTACCTCCACTTTTCAACAGATAACGGTTGACATCCTGGATTGTGGTATTAATGGTGGGCCCAGTAGGAACACTTCCTGGGGTCACATCCGGATCATTCTCAGGGTCAATGTTTTGCAGTCCTTTCCAAGGCACTCCTGGGTGAAATTCTAAATCAGGTACACAAAAAGGAGTCAAACAACCTCAAAATGTCAGCTTTTAATATATAAAAAAAAAATAGGAGGAAGGAATTCATATATTAACTATTTATAGATATACATAATGGAAACACTAACCAGGAGGCCAGTTGATACTGGACCCATTGGAGATTTTGTCGTTCTCAGATTTGGCACGTGACCAGCTGTCTGGAACAGGAACAGGAGGACTTGTTGGTGATTCACTGTTTGGGAGAAGATCGTACCGATTGTAGGAGTCATCCATACTGGACTTTGCAGGAGGGCCAATGCCAAGACTCCCAGGAAGAGCAGCTGCAGCAAATATGGGAATCAATGTCACAAAATGGCTTATAAAAAAATTGCTGAAAATCTACTGCAGTATGATGTGAAAAAGACATTGACACAGCTGGAATGGATGACAGCGTATAATGACGTGGTTATGAAGAATAAAATAAACTCCCATAAACTAGACATGTTGGCAGATAGGGAGCATACACAAGCATTCATAGAAGAAAGAACTTTGAAGCCCTAAAGGTACAAATGGTGACTTACTTGACTTGCCAGGACTAGGATCAAGAGAAGCAGAATTTGCCAGGCTATCCATGGAGTTGGGATGAGTCCATTGTGGCAGACGAGACTGAGACTGGGATGTATCCTTCACTGACAAACCCCCAGCCATGTCCATGCTGCTTACATTCATAGCAGGATTTATTCCAGGAACTGTATTGAAGGGATATATACAGTTAGGCTCCACCATTTCTAGGTATATTAGACAGTTCCCTGTCCATTATATACTTCAGTGCATTTAAAATAAATGACAGAATACGTATGGAGTAAGTAAAATCACAGTCCAAGCTTCAGCTGAGCAGGCCTGGTCACTATGTGTGTTATTAAAGTAAGCATTGACAAAAACAGGTCCACAACATTAGCCCATGTAATTCTCTCAGCACAGGTTTCCTTTAAGTTCCAGTTATGACCTTCGCTAGCAACTTAAATGTACACAAAGTTTAAGAGAAAATAGGTAGGAAACAAATCCCAGTTATTCTGCAGTCTTTATCTAATTCAACAATATTTTCATTTTAAGCAGAAACATTTTTTTTCTGCACTAACTGAATGTATATAATGAGGAAGATGTGCGACTGCCTTAAAATTTAGATGCAAGAACTGTGTGCACTGTATCTCACTCTTATTTTAATACATAAGATAAGGTACTCTGAAGGGTGGCAGATGTTCAGGAGCACATCAGGGTGAACAGACCATTCTCCTTTGTCTAGGTGTTGACAAGTGAGGAAATCCAACTACCAATTGTCTACTCTGGGAAAATGGAAACAAGGCTGGAATATGCCTTCTAGGCCAAGCCAGAATTAGGACCACTTTCCGAAGGGCTGTGTGACTTCTGGTGTTGCCCTGATTATGGATATAAACCATAGCTATGGCATTTTGTGACTGAGCCCTTACATGCCACTCCTGAAACTTGTTGGTCTGCCAAAGTAGAGATTGGTGAATGGCCCTTCAGTTTGAAACATTAATGAAGGTGTGGATTCCCTCAACAGCTTTGTCCCTAGGTCTCCACCTGAGCCCGACAGGTTGGCATCGGTCATGAGAAACTGCCAAGATAATGGGAGAAAGTTTTTCCCAGATTCCAGCACAGGGCTGGTCAACTACCGAGCTACAGATAGCCTGGCCTTGGGACACAGATGCATGGACTGGTCCAGAGACTAAGGGAGCTGGTCTCCAGCAGTCAGTAAACTGAGCTGCACACGCTTGGGTTGAAACTGAGCAAACATCATTTGACTGAAAGGAGGCCACCATGAGGCCCCATACCCCTCATGCAAAATTGGACCAATGAAAATTTCTTGGAGCGCAGGGTTTAGGCATGAGAATGGAAGGTCAATACCTATTTCAATGTGTAATATATGAAGAGACATATTTGGAAGGTTGGCTTGGAAAAGGACAAGTCATTTGAGACTTGGCTACACTTAAAGTTATATACTTCTGGGGAGTTATTCTGTCACACACCAAGTGGAAGATGACTATTACATAGTGCTGTTTTATTTTGTCTTGGAGAACAGAGGATACACGGTTTCTGGAAGTGTTTTCACAGTGGGGATTATAACTACGGTTTTTTCCTTTTGTTCACTTGACTGAAGATTTACACTATTTGTGCATTATTTGTAATTTATTACTGGGGTATGGAAATTTTTTTCAAAAAACTGCTTGTTCAAAGGACTAAATCAGGGTCGCAGTCTACTTGTCCCTCATGACTATATACTTGTCCTGATACAAAAAAAAATAATCTTAAATTTAAAAATAAACCCAGAGAAAAAACAAACAAAAAAAAACAAAACAAACCAAAACCGTATTTAAATAAGATTTTAACATTGCACTGTTTATTTCCAACTCACCTCCCTGCCGGTCTCCAGCACTGCATCCGGGGACTAGCAGAGAGGGGAGAAACCTTGCAGTGTGCTGAGCACCGATTGGTTGCTCGTCAGGAAAGGGGAGTATCGGGCTCTCTTAACGTTCAGCAGAAGCACATTTGCTGAGCGAGTAAATGAAGAGCCGGCCTCAATGAGAAAAAAAAATAAAAAATGTATTCCTTCAGGTTACCCTCACACACAGAGAAGCACTTGGATGCTCAGTACAAGTGCATGCTGAGCAGCCAAATCAAACTCCGATGTCCGCTCCATGAGGCTCCAATCACACCTGGGTGTTTTGGGATCACAGCAGAATTGCTGTGATTCTGCTCACGATCTCAAAAAGCACTATAAATTACAAAACACAAATTCAGGTGCCATTATCATTAATAGCACCTAAAGCAACCGCGGTAAATAGCATCACATGAAGCTTGTCACCCAAAAGAAGCTCCTGCTTGTGCGTTTTGAGTTTGAATGCAGCTTTGCAGCGATTCTGCCATGATCCCAAAACGCCCAGGTGTGAATGGAATCTTAGTCCCAGTTTACACTGATGTGAATTTAATGCAAATCAGATGTGATCCGCACTTGAACCCCTGAACAACTACCTCTGACAATCACACTGTAAACAGACAAATCACATCACAAAAAAGTACACCCTGCTGCTTGCCCGCAGCAGGACTAAATGTAAAAAAAAACAAAATAAAAACAGGAAAAACCAAACCAAAAAAAAAAAAACAAAACCACTCGCCGGGATGGGCATTCAGCAACATGATTTGCATATCATACACAAAACTGTAACTGTGCTGAAGCAAATTTAAAAAAAGAAACAAAATGTAGGGGAGAAAAAAAAAAACCCAAAGATTTGCACTGCCTGGAGCAACCAGATTGCAGGAGTTCTTTATGTCGCTATAACACAGTGAAGTCTATTAGAAATCCTATGGTTACTATTAAAAGCAAGTTTTAACAGAAAGCTTGGAACATACCAATCGGGTAAGGAGAGAAAGTATTTGAAGAAGACTGCTGTTCTTTGGTGTGCAGGTCAGACAGGCTTGGACCTGGATTATGGGGTGAGAAGCTGTCCAGAGATGACTTGCCTGCAGGAGGATGCAATGGTGGATGTGGAGGGGGAGTCTGTTGCTTCAAAAGTAGAGCCTGGGCCAGCTGGCGCTGATGTTGCTGTATCTGCTGCTGCATGTTATTGATTGTACGTGCAACCTGCAGAGGGAAAAAAGCAAAAATGTTGGAATTCTGACAAACTGATTTGGGGGTATTTTAAGGCTGAACTTCAGACAGATATGGCAGACCGAAATGACCATCTCTGAAATCAATACATCACTAAATGTTTTTTTTCTTTAATGCAAGCACTGTAAGTGTCTGCATTTGCTGTTACAAGCCCATTGCAATCCAGTTTACAGCAGAGTCCAGGCAGGAGATGAAAAAGCAGCACAAGCAGTCAGTTGTGCTCATGTGCTAACATGGAGAATGCTGGTAAAAGAACAGTGTGAGAAAGGGATGATCTCCTTCGTATCCTGCTTCTCCTTTCATTGCAAATTCAATGGCTGGTAGAGACCTCATTTGTAAGTGGTAGCAACAAAGAAAAAAACAGGTCTCTTGCCCTGTCAGACTGGGCTGTACAGATCTCACTGGATGAGCAGAAATATAAACCTTTTGGCAGCTTAAGACAGTACATATAGGTCATTTATCTGTGTATTTAACGGTTTGCCTGGCGTTCAGCCTTAAGAAATGAAGGACATGTGGCAAGGCAAATATATTTAAGACATACTGCTCAGAAAATATTTCACTTACAGGATATTATGAATTTTTATATTGGTAAAGAAATATTTAAAATTGAACACCAAGCAGAAAGCCAAATTCAATTAACACATGAAAAACCGTACATGCTTTTCATGTCCTCATATATTTAGATACCTAGTTTTTATATTACATACATTTATATCCAACATTTCATATACAAAATAAGTGCATTTACTAGGCTATCACAAATTATACCCAGCCTACAACACAGTACAGAAGGCAGTGTACATGAACACTTGGGTATGGACAGAGCTGTGTACACCAGATAAGCAGGTTTGACCTACTTGCTGCTCCTGTTGCCTCATGGGTCCGGAAACATTACGCTGAGCCTGTAACATCTGCTGCTGGAGTTGTAAACGCTGATACGCCTGCAGGTGTGAGTAGAAGTGGGTCAGACAGACTGAAGACAATGAAACCATTAAAAAAGACTGCACCAATATGTACCAAGTGACAAACTGGGCAATGAAAACATTTAAGTAGCCATTTAACATTAATATCATTGCTGAAAATGGTTGATCTAAAATACAATTGTTTATTTTAGGCATGTAATTGCAATAATTGTAACCATGCTTTACAGTTTATCTGTAGCTGGAAGGCTACAGAGGCTCATCAATGGATATGAGCTAATGAGAGAAGGGAATCTGCTGTCAACACAACCACACACACAATTTCATTATTTTTAATAACATTTCCGTTATCTGAAGCATCATTCTAGGTATTGCCTTAAGGCTACCCAAAACGTGAGCAATTGTAATAGGTTATGATCAGCTCTATACAAACTGGGAAAAGAAAAACATGTCCGCTATGCATATGATCAGACCACCACATTCACATTTAAAATAGTTAAAATCTGACCATGGGCAACAGACATGTTGTAGTAAAGATCTATTGGAAGATTATGATGGTTGCTACTCACCAACTGCAGCTGATAGAGCTGGTTCAACATGGTCATATGCTGAGGATTAATTGGCGAGGTTAATAGTGCAGGGTTGAGACCAATGTTTTTTGCTGCAAACTGCAAAAGCTGTGCTTGAACCTACAATAGAGCAGGAAATCAGAAGCGTATTACACGACTGTCCAAACATTATCAAAATGTCAATTTCGTATTTTAAAGAGATTTGACGGAAGACCTCACATAACATACTGCCCAGATTAATAAACTCAGTGAGGTGCAGTCCACACCGGAAGCTGACTCACCAGAGTTGCTATGTCTGGTCAACGTTTCTTTTTTTTTTTTTTTTTGCTGCTCTGCACCACAAAAACAAAAGTGGGCAGCCACAGCACCCCTAGAGATTTGGCACCGGCTGCTCCAGACAGTGGCAGTTCAGAGTCACGGGAAGGCTTCTTCCCTGCTCTGGTCATATGACACAGCCGAAGAAAGGAGTGTGCACTGCATCTGGCCCAGAGAGCTCTGGTGGGTAGGACTGAGAAGTCTGTACTAAAGGGTGTCTGTAGGGGATGTTAGGAGAGATCTGTACTGTGGGGGATATGGGCTTTGGGGAGTTTGTACTGGGAAGTTTAGGTCATTTTTGGTTGTATGCTGTAAAGTGGCCTGAGCACTATAAATTCCTGACCCCTGCACTTGGTACAATATATGCACTCCAGACCCCTGCACTCCGTGCAATATATGCACTCCAGACCCCTGCACTCCGTGCAATATATGCACTCCAGACCCCTGCACTCCGTGCAATATATGCACTCCAGACCCCTGCACTCCGTGCAATATATGCACTCCAGACCCCTGCACTCGGTACAATATATGCACTCCAGACCCCTGCACTCCGTGCAATATATGCACTCCAGACCCCTGCACTCCGTACAATATATACACTCCAGTCCCCTGCACTCCGTGCAATATATGCACTCCAGACCCCTGCACTCCGTGCAATATATACACTCCAGACCCCTGCACTCCGTGCAATATATACACTCCAGTCCCCTGCACTCCGTGCAATATATGCACTCCAGACCCCTGCACTCCGTGCAATATATGCACTCCAGACCCCTGCACTCCGTGCAATATATGCACTCCAGACCCCTGCACTTGGTACAATATATGCACTACAGACCCCTGCACTCCGTGCAATATATGCACTCCAGACCCCTGCACCACTATTTTACATTTCATACTCCTGACCTCCACTCAGTACACTGGGAAAAAGTTTCTTTTTTTTTTTTTTAAATGAATGTTAATGTTTGTATGTGTCAGTTAGACTCTCGCTTGTTTCATTAAAGCATATTTTGTGGGTAAAAGGACTATTGCATATGTTTGCTGTATATAGGGGAAATAAGCTCAGATTTTATTTAGACCATTCCCCAGTAAGCCCTCTTCTCAAACCCCCTCCCCCCCCAGTATATTTTGACTATTCCCATAATTCGGCATGGCACTTTAGTACTTCAGATCAGTTTGTGGGTGGTTTGGGACCGTTAAAAAAAAAAAAAAGAAAAAACAAAGATATTATTGGCCCCAGGTGCCAGACCATCTAGGCATGTTACTGAACTTAAACTGAATCCTAGAAATCTGGTATTACAGGCTCTGTATATGACTTTAAAGTGAACCTGCAGTCTCCTCAACCTTAATAAAGTAACACAATACCTACACAGAACATACAAGGTTGTGGGTATGTAGTAAAGATGCTCAACCTCCCCTCAACCATTCATAAGGCTGCATTCACATTTGCCTCTTCCATTTGGTTTATTTAAATGGAGGAGAAAATATTCAGGAAGTATAAAGCGTTATGCTTCCCAGGTCAAGTTCTTATGCATTTAGATGTACTTGCATTTACATGCATTTAGATGTGTTCAAAGCATCTATTCTGACTATGGATGCACAGAATTCTATATGCTCTAAACACAGCTAAACTGAATGCACCTAAACACAGTGTGAATTATACTATTTAAAATCAATTTATGTATTTAGAGTGTACAATAAGTGCATATAAACACATGTATGTCATTGCCAGTGTGAATGAGGCTTTATGCATTGTTTTGTGCCTGAACAACTTATTTACAGACTTGAGCATTTTCATGTGGTTTTGAGGGGTGTAGGAATGCCAATCAGAACAACTTTATGAAAGAAGACATGTCTTGACTCAATCCAAACACAACTTTATGAAAGTTATTGCTTTTGCAGTTTTAGCGGCAGACTGAGAAGGGTGCTGGTTTGCAGGTAGGAGCAGTATGGCTCCTGAACAGCAGCTGTGTTATTTGGCTGGGGCTGAAGAGATTAAAGCTAGCTTTAAAGAGGATCACCAGCACAGTACAAGTTCTTGCCATCTGTTGCTCTTTTTGTGGTTCTGCATGGCACCTTGGTTGTTACGAGCTTAAAACTGCAAGGTGCAGCGTAAACTACTGTCTAAAATTGTATTCCAAACTGCACCTTGTTGTCCCAACTTCTCCCTAGCAAAAGTGCAACTGTGGTTAAAAAATAACTTTTATTAATAGAAAAAGCACAAAAAAAAAGTGAGTAGTCCAAAAAAAAAAAAAAAAATGGGATATATGAACTCATTCTCCTTTTTGCGTTCATTGAAGGACACAGGAGATCTTCATAACAGTTGGGTTTTATGACACGACCTGCAGGAGCAGGATGCTAGGTGCAACTAAAACTGAAAGTACTGGGGCCCAGCGCAATACCGGATGGATGCAGTCTGCAGACAAGTTAAGGGAAGTACAAGAAGATGCAGCTTTTAAAGTTTTCCCTCCAGAAGGAAAAACCCTGGACACACTGGTGTGCAGAAGAGTCCCAAAAACGCCAAGCAAGGAGGAGAGGGAAGGACTGACTTGTGAAGCTTCAGCATCCATCTGAGGTCCTCAAATGATCTGATCCTGATGGAAAGATTGCGTTCCAGATCCGTTGCATACTGTTCTCACAGGAACAGGTCATCCAGAGAACCCACAAACGATATCCCATAGAGGAGTAGAAGAGTCAAGACCAGAGCCAGTATCTTGGCGAGATTCGCAGCGAGTGCCGACGCCTGTCCAAAAGGAAGGGCTATGAACTGGTAGTGCAGTTCTCTCAGAACAAATTAAAGGAACTGTTGATGAATGCTGCAAATGGGGATGTGTGCTAAGCGTCCTTGATGTCGACTGAGGCCAGAAAAAAAACCTCTGGGTGTATGTAAAGGATCAGAGAGTTAACCCAAGTACATGCAAAACTTGCGCACATTTAACCACTTCCCGCCCGGCCTATGGCTAGATGGCGGCCGGCAAAACACCTCGTCCCTCCGGGTGGATGCCATATGGCGTCCTTTCGGGCATGCGCAGTTTGCATGCCTGCAAAGCCACGCAGCCAATGACAGATCTGAGTACCAGCCCCGTTGCCGGTACCCTGTGACCTGCTGTGACCAATCACAGCAGATCACATGACAGTTGTATATAATGGATGGCTTCCTGTCATGCCATCCATTGTATACAAGTGTGGTTAGCTGTGAATGGTCACAGTGATCACATGCACAAGCTGAGCCAATCACAGCCTTGCTGTGTCATGTGATTAGCTGTGGCCAAATCACAGTAAGAAAAAAAAAAATCCTGAATGAATCGATTTCATTCAGGTAAATGCTTGCTTATAGCAAAGTAATATTTTGCTATAAGCAAATTGTGTAAAAAAAAAAAAAAAAAAAAAAATAGATCACTTCCCCAAAGTAGTACAATGTTACTATGGTAACATTATACTACTTTGGTCATAGTGAAATATGAAAAAAAATCTTAAAAAAAAAGAAAAAATGTAATAAATAAATTTTTAAAAAAAAAAATTATACTTTTTTTTTCGTACTGTCACCAGTCAGTGTCCCTGATCATAGCCATGCCAGTTATATGATGATGCTGTACTGCACTGGTGACAGTATGTAAAAAAAAAAAAAATAGTGAAAATCATTTTTTTTATTTCTTCATTTCCGAAAAATTCTGACAAAAAAAATTACAACTTCAAAAAACTCGCTGTGCCTCTTATGAAATATGCCAGACTGTCTACTTTGCAAAAAGAGTTCATTTGGGGGATATCTGTACTGTTCGGACATTCTTGGACCTCAAGAAATGAGACTGGCTGTCAGTACTTCAGGATTGATCAATATTCAGATATATACCATAGTTTGTGAACTCTATAACTTTCCTATAGACTAAATAATAAATACTAATTTGGGTTATTTTCACCAAAGACATGTAGCAGAATACATTTTGGTCTAAATTTATGGAGAGCAATTATTTATTTGCAAACTTTTATAACAGAAACAAAGAAAAACATGTTTTTTTTTTTTTCAAAATTTTTGGTCTTTTTTTGTTAATTTAGCAAAAAATAAAAACCCCAGTGGTGATTAAATACCACCAAAAGAAAGCTCTAGTTGTATGAACAAAATGATACAAATTTTAGTTTGGATACGGTATTGTATGACCGCGCAATTGTCATTCAAAGTGTGAGAGCGCTGAAACCTGAAAATTGGCCTGGGCAGGAAGGGGGTAAAAGTGCCCGGTATGGAAGCAGTTAAAAAAAAAAGGCGTTCGGGGCCTTTAGATCCAGAAGTGGACGGACACTGTCCTTTCTGGAAACAGTGATCAACTGGAATAGAGGAAATGCAATTGTGACCAAACACAAAAATTCATAAAATGTAAGTACATAGACAAATATCCATGTGCACATCAATACCAGTGCAAATAACAAAGGCCAATGAAAAAAGCTCCAAGTGTCAATCACGTGTTTAATAAATAAAATTAAAACTGTCCATGTCTTTAGTTGGTGACTGGTCATCACCAACAAAAGACACTTGATGCAGTGCTGGGAGAATGCCTGAATCTAAGTTATTCAGCCTGTCACCCAGCACTGCAGTTGATTGAAGACAAAACTTAATTGACGGGGAAAAAAAAAAAAAAATTACATCAATTGAAAAAAAAAAAAAATTTATTGACTGTCACTGGACGAAAGTCTTGAAAACATGAAAGGAGACAAAAATCTTATGTCTTTACTCCTGAATACCAGGTGGAAAATTGAGCTGTGTGTTACAGATGGGGGGGGGAAAGCGTATAATGTTCACCTGTCTCGCCTTGAATTGGCTGTCTGCCTATTACAATTTGATTTCACATCTGGTGGCTAGCTTCTGAAATGTGTATTGCACCAGTACATGCAGCCAGAAGATGGGTACCATCTGTAGAATTTGTACTGTGGTGGACAGGTACCATATATAACGTTTTTACTATTGAAATGGAGTACGCAGTCAAACAGATGGACTGGGGCCATGTATATGAATACTATTTTGTACTTACTTTTCTCTAAAAAAGGTTTTCTACATTTTTAGGAAATGTACGTGCACATACAGTATATATTTAAGAAAAAGGTAGTGAAAAAAACAAGACAAAAAAACCAAAAAAAACTTCTATCATATTTGGCTAAATATAGATCTGACCTACAAACATGACACTAATGATTAAGGGAGGCTGATCAGACAGATGAATGAGAACTCTGGATTAATTATGTAAGTAACCCTCTACATGAAGTATACCCTCCTGAGCACTGGGCTGACAAACACTCTGAACCATCATTGCAATACAAAAAAAAAAAAAAAAACACACAAGAAAAGCACAATAAGCACAAAAAGTAGATACTCCCCTTCAGTAAGCAATCAGATTACTTGTTTAATTGCCCCTTGGAATTGATGTAGAAGTGTATTTCATACATTTTTGTAAAGTAAGCAGTGAAAGTACTTGATTTTGACTTGGTATCAGCCTCGTGTAGCCCCTGTACAGCAGAGCTCAGACTGGGAGCAGAAAAAGCAGCACAACAACAAGCTAGGTATGTGAGTACAAAACCCACAAAAAGAAGTCCCAACAGAGAACCAATCTGCAGGCGCACAGACATACCAACCACACACACCAGAACATGCACTAACATAGAGATAGGACCATAGAGGCCAAAGATCATATGATTATGACCAGTTATGCTAGATCTATGGATTAATTATGTCATCTACAAAAACTGAGACACGTGACTCAGTGGGCAAAACGTGTTGTCACAGCGTCGTGACGCCCGCGCTCCAGGCAGCACCACGCAGCTTTACCAACTCACCGCCCCACACTGGGCAAGCACCTTGCAGTCACATGCATTTAATCCGTACATGTAATCTGACTATAGCAGCTACACAGACTGTATGACTATACAGAGGGTCAAGACTGACTGATGTGAGCGATCGTATCTGGAGTGCTGAGCCAATAACATCAGGGCCAGGCTGTGACTAAATTGGGGGTTGGTTCCTGAACTATGATTGCTCCGTGAGGCCTCACACACCTGGTGCCTTTCTTCTGCCTGCATGCAGTGAATGGTTGTGGCTACCTATAACCTATATCTACACATTTGCTACTGAACTCCAGCCTGCTGCTCAAGGTTGGTCCTATTTGCTGTACTTGCAAACTGTAACATTTCTTGCTGCTATCTCCACTGGAGCCATTGTCATATTCTTCATCTATGCAAGCATGGTTTGACTGCATGCAGGGGCAATTTATCATAGGTTTGAATTTCCAGCATTGATTGAAGATACCCCTTCATGAATGATGGACTGTCATTAATATCAATGTCTATTTATACCAATTCTGGTCGTAGATGATATAATTGATCCATAGATCTAGCATAACTGGTCATAATCATATGGTCTTTGGCCTCTATGGTCCTATCCGTATGTTAGTGCATGTTCTGGTGTGTGTGGTTGGTATGTCTGTGTGCCCAGGAGGGTGTTTTTATGTCACAAGACAACGTTGTTGTTTGGTTTTTAACAGTGTAGGGAGGAGGGATATTAGTTACTATTTATATTTTCATATTTTTCAATAAAACATTTTTCAAGCCGCAGATTGGTTCTCTGTTGGGACTTATTTTTGTGGGTTTCTTACTCAAATACCTAGCTTGTTGTGTGTATTTTTGGTCCTGAGGACATCATCCTTATGTTTGGGTGAGTCGGCTATACATTTTGTATATATTTTCTTTGCAGTGGATCCCAATTCTGCTTTTATGATTTTCAGTATAAAGTCAGTTCTCCTGCAGTGCCCATGAGCTAACTAGGAGCAGGCTTATAGGAGGAGGGAAGAAATTAACTCATTAGTCAGATGCTTCTCTATTCCATCAGTCACAGTCTAAGGGAGGTACAAGACCTGTAACTGCTAACCTGTTAACTGCAGCAGAAAAAAAAAAAAGAGCAAGTCTTCTGTCCTGATCCGTTTCTGTATTTTTTTCTATTGGTTGAACTAGATATACTTGTCTGTTTTGAACTTAGCCATGTAACTATGTAAAATAGGGCTGTGTGTCAGAGTGGTGTATATTTCAGGATTGGTTGGACAGAGTACAAATCCATTGCCAGGTAAAACAGTTCTCATATGTGTTTCATTTGTGTAGTTAACCGTTTCTATGGAATCCAGCTTTTATTGTTCACTAGCACTTTTCATTTAATTTTCTCCCAATTTTTTCACAGTAGTAGCGGAATTATGTACAGGACTGCCAAGTAAAATGGCATTACCCATAATTCCTTTCTTTTTTGGAGAGGGTTGTTTTACTCTTCACAGGGAGCAATGCTTGAAGCCTTCCTATGAGTATTTTGGGCTCCAGCAAACTCTAGAATTGTGCATTACAGACGTCATACCTTTTCATTGTAAACATGCCAGGCCACTTAGGATATTCCAGATCTAGACACTTACCTGAGGGGATAAAAACTGAGGCACTTGAGCACGAAGACTAGGCTGGGATGAGTTGAGAGGTTGCACTGGTGGCTGCTGTGGCTGTTGCATGGACCTGGCTTGTGCTGCTCCACTATTGCCAAACATACCCAGATTGCCACTCTGTAACTGTGTGAAGGGTATATTGTTATCAAGCCTGAATTTCTATCATGCATCTTCCTAGCTCCTAGACCAATTTTCTGCCCTGAAATCTTCTGCTACATAATAATTTTTTTTCCCTGAATATATACAAAAGAGGTAAGAAAATAAAAAGACCAAAAGGGCCTGCCTGTGACCTCCTAAAAAGTTGCCCTTATAAGCCCAGACCTTTTACAAATCCAAGTCTGAATGTCATTCCACTATTTCCATTGCAATGCCTAGGACAACTAACCAATTGCTGGAATGCGGACAACTGGCTAAACTTTCCTAAATCCTATAAGTCTCCTTAGAAGTTAATCTGTTATTTCTGTAAAATGTAATAAAAACTAATCACGGATTCTTAGGGCGCTTTCACACTGCCCCCGCGGTTTAGCCGCAGTGTACCCATGATTTCCAAGCATTTTACCTGCAGTTTCCCATGAACTTCGATTATATCCTATATTTTTGGAACGTTTTCTGAAAGCGCACCAAAAGTCCCCCATGCTGCATCTTAGGTGAGCGTGCAGAAAATGCACCAAAAATGCAGGACATAATAAAAGTCAATAGGAAACTGAGGGTACACTGCACTGTATCCACGTTGCAGCTAAACTGCAGCGGGGCAGTGTGAAAGTGCCCTTATTGTACAAAGAGGCCATTTAAATAATGAAAATGCTAGAAAACTGGGGTTTTCCTTATTGCACTTTGACAAGCATTTCTCCTAAGTTCTTACCTGTCTAGAGGAATTCAAGTTCTGCATGTTTAGGCCTGGTGTCATGCCACCAAGGGCTTGATTAGGGAGTGCACTGTTGGGATGGGGGAGCTTCAGGCTTGGTGAAGGCAAAAATGGTGAAGTAGTGGGCTCTTCCACTAGGCCGCCATCCTGATTGAAGAAAAAAAAAAAAAAAAAAAGACAGCGTGAGTGGTGGTCAGCACATTAAAAGCACCAGAGGCAGGAGGCAAAAAAAAATCAAGTCCAGTAAATGATGTAGCAGGATAAATATACCTTAAAGAATACCCATCATTAAATATTTACAGACTGTCATTATGATGCCTTTCTGAAAATTCTACCTGTCTATTATAAGGGCTCACTGGCTTCACTTTGAGTCACGGATCTGGAACAAGTTAGCAGGATCAGGAATTTCAGAAGTCAGTTAACAATGGTGGCCTATAAATTTTTCTCATGACAGAAGGGTTTACCTCTTGACCTTTGTAAATTTTACCTACTTCATGACCAGAGAGAGCACTTTTTGTTTTTCAGCACTGTGCCATTTTAACTGGCAATTGCTCGACTATGCAACATTGTACACAAACAAAATATATATAATTTTTTTTTTCACAGAAATAGAGCTCTCTTTTGGTATTTGCTTACCACTGGATTTTTAAAAATTTTTTAATATATAAAACAAAAAAAAAAAGAAAGAAAATGTTGCCAAAAAAAAGTCCACTCTGTTCTAAATCACATCCAATAAAAAAAAAAAAAATCAAGTTACTTCATAAATTTAGGCCAAAATGCATTCTGATACATGTTTTTGGGAATAAAAAAAAAAAATCCCAATAAGTGTATATTAATTGATTTATGTGAAAGTTATAGCGCCTACCACCTCTGTCATGCAACTCCTGGCAAAAAGTATAGAATTACCACTCTTGGAAAATGTTCATTCAATTGTTTAATTGTGTAGAAAAAAAACAATCACTGAAATGTCTCAAAACTATTTTCATTCAACATTCCAACCTTCTGGCTTTAAGAAACACATAAAAAAATAAATAAAACTGTAGTCAGTTGCAACTGTTTCTGTAGATCAAGCAGAGGAAAATAAATATGGAATCACTCATTTCTGAGGAAAATAATATGGAATCGTGAAAAAAAATACTACAGTTCATCGCTAGTACTTTGTAGCATCACCTCTGGCTTTTATAACAGCTTGAATTCTCTGAGGCATGGATTTAACAAACCGTATTCTTCATCATCAATCCGGCTCCAACTTTCTCTTACTGCAGTTGCCAGATCAGCTTTGCAGGTTGGGGCCTTGTCATGGACCATCTTCTTTAATTTCCAGCATAGATTTTCAATTGGACTGAGGTCCGAACTATTTGCAGGCCATGCCAGTGACATCATACTGTATGTCTTTCTTAAAGGAACGTTTTCACGGCTTTGGACCTATGGCAAGATGCATTATCATCCTGAAAAATTATGTCATTATCACGGAACATCCTGTCAATTGATGGAATAAGAAAAGTGTCCAAAATCTCAATATAAATTTGTGCATTTATTAAAGATTTAATGACGGTCATCTCCCCTGTACCTTTACCTGACACACAACCCCATATCATCAATGACTGTGGAAATTTGCATGTTTTCTTCAGGCAGTCGTCTTTATATGGCACCAAACAAAAGTTCCAGCATCATCACCCTGCCCAATGCAGATTTATCACTGAAGATCACTTTCATCCAGTCATCCACAGTCCATGATTGCTTTTCTTAAGCCCACTGTAACCTTGTTTTTTCTGTTTAGTGTTAGGGATGGTCTTCGTTTGGCATTTCTGTATGTAAATCCCATTTCCTTTAGGCGATGTCTTACAGTTCGGTCACAGAAATTGACTCCAGTTTCTGCCCATTTGTTTTGCTGTGCATTTTCTTTTTTTTAAGTTTTCTGTCTTGACGCTTTGATATCTTCCTTGGTCTGCCAATAAGCTTCCCTTTTACAACCTTCCCATTTGATTTTTACTTGGTCCAGATTTTATACACAGCTGACTGGGAACAACCAACATCTTTTGAAACATTCCATGATGATTTACCTTCTTGAAGAAGTTTTATAATCCTCTCCTTTGTTTCAAATGACATCTCTGGTGTTGCAGTCATGATCCATGTCAATCAGCTTGGTGCAACAGCTCACCAAGATGTGCAAGCACTCTTTTTAACTGCAAACTAAATTAGCAGATGTAATGTGATGCAGATGTTTGTTTTAGAACTGCAAAGTACATGGTGATTCCATAATATTTTCCCCAGAATTGAGTGATTCCAAATTTTTTTCCCCTGCTTGATCTGTAATAACAGTTGCAATTGACTACAGTTTTTTTTTTTTTTTTTTTTTTTTTTTTTAAGTGTTTCTTAAAGCCAGAAGGTTGCAATGTTAAATGAAAATAGTTTTGAGACATGTCTGTGATCGTTTTTTTTTTTGTTCTACACAATTAAACAATTGAATTAACATTTTCCAAGAGTGGTGATTCCATACTTTTTGCCAGGAGTTGTATATACAGGAATTTAGGCAGCTATGATGCTATACTGATAATGGTGGTAATCAGCGACTTATAGCGAGACTGTTATAGGGTGGGGGGCAATTTGTCGCTAACAGACCCTCACTGGGAGGTACACTAACTGACTGACATCATTAGTGACACTAATACAGTGATCACATATAATACTGTACAATGTATTAAGGACACTGGCTGGAAAGGGGTAAACATCAAGGGGTTTAGTGTGTGTCTAACAAGTGTAATGTTTGTAATATATGCTGCTTTCACTAACATATCTGGTTGCTTTTTTTCGCCCTACTTTGCAGGGAGAAGAAACAGCCAGATCGTTGATCTGTGTACAGAACCCTGTGTGTTTGTAAACACAGGACTCCATGCTGTGATTGGCTACAGCCGACTGGCAGGTCTTCGCAATAAATCACCAGCTGGGACCTGCTGACAAAATCCCACTGTAGCTAGTGACAGTGCGGGTTAACAGGGGGCGCACGCGTCCCTAACTTAGAACAGTCTTGATGACGTACATGTACACGATCCAGCCTGCCTGTGCCGCCCACCTGCAGTAAATGTACTGTGGGCACAAACTTGTTAATTGTGTGTTAGTTGTTGCTATCTTAAACCTTTTGCTGCTGGGCTCTACTTTCCACCTCGACATTACTAAATCAGTTTTGCCATTTTTTCAAATGCATTTTACATAGTTGAACGTCTTTTAATCTATGCAAAGCAGCATAGGGGCAGCTGGTGAAGTCGGATACTTGCTAGCCTCTTCCATGTCATTACTATTTGTTGAATGTGTACCACATTATGGCTTTATTTTGAGACAGTTTGGAATTTTTTTGATGATTCATTGAATGGCTGTATCTCAGATATGTTGCCATAATAAAATAATTAAAAAACAAAACAAAAAAAGGAAGGTAATATATTTGAAATCTTGCTAAAGACAGTGGCAACCATATTTCTGGAGGAGGAGGGCATAAATAATTTAATGATGGTCCTGGTGATGTTGTAGGTCCCACAACATTTACACAATAAATACTCTTTTTTGATACATGATTATTCTTTATATTTGGTTATATACTGTATAGATTAAAGTGGAACTAAACCCTCTTATCCTTTACAGCCAAAGAAGCTGCCATTTTAGCCTCTGTTTGATCTGCAGTTGGTGCAGCACAAGCAACGGTGACCATTACCATTCACAGCACGCCTTAAATGTAAAATAACTTTTGTAGCCTCCCTAGCGGTCTGATTATGTCCATATTTCTGTGCTCAAAGCGGTACCTTTTTTTGCATGGCAATAGGTCTTTTTTTATTGTAGGCCTGTAATTTTTAGGAATAACTTACTTAAATCTGTCCGAACAAGAGTCTAGTAAACATGATCCCGGGTATGTTAAAATTTGAAACAAGAAATCATAAATTATAATTTAACAATCATAAAAAATAATAAAATAATAAATTTAATTCAATATAATCAAACCAAAAACACGGAAATTTGAAATATAGCGCCAAGTTCGCACATCATTGATCTTAGTCGCAAAATCATTTTCAGTGTCTGATGATGAATTTCCCCCACGAATCATTATCACTCAATTCTGCAAGTGGTTCTGATTTACTATCACTGTTCTCTAGCTGGTCTAAAACCGCTTTTGACCTAAAGGGACACTTTTTGGACGCCATGGACGTTTCTCAGTTTCCAGGCAGAAAGAACAGTAAAACTGCAGGAAGGGCAGAGGACAAAGCACTCGGGACAAAATGTATGTGAAATGGTTTGATACAGTAATGTTTTACTATGTGATTTTAGTGTATTTTGTGAATGTCACTTTTTGACATTTTTAAATTTCCCGCCGTTCCGTCCCCCATATGTCCTGATGTTGCAGGGAACACTGCAGGAGGGACATCGCGGGAGTGCAGGACAAGGTAAGTGAAGAAGAGATCCCAGAGCAAAGCTGCAGGGTATTCCCGATTGTAGCTCAGGGTTACTGCTTGTGGTGCTGAAACTTTACCCCGAGCTACACTCAGGAATACCGCCAGGGGGATTAAGAAACCACTAAATGAAATGGATTAATCCTGCTTTAAAGTGTACCTTTATCCAAAACATTGTTTTGCAATAAACGTCTTTACAATAAAGAATAATGTGAAGAATTCATATCTGAATGATCAAATCATGAATGGTGCTACTGGACCAACATATCTGGGAGAGCCACCTCTGTTTTATCTGTGACTGGGTGTATGAGAATCCCTAGCTTGGTTTGGGAGCACAGAATGTGACAAAGCAGAGTGTTCTTATACATGCATGCAATGGCAGGATAAAAACAACACTGGGCAGCTTGGCTATATCCTCATGTAAAAGGTTACATGCTAAATTTTCCAGACTGACCAAACTTTGCCTTTAATATTCAAAATGTAAGGATACGTGCATGCTGCTCAGGACAGCAAAGGGTTATCTTTACACTGGGAAGTCAGACAGAGCCCTGGTGGAAAGGATTTCTCATGACCTAATAGCTTTGCTGACATTTAGGAGAAGACAAGCACATGGCCAGAAGTCTGTGTCTCTCTATAGCTCAGCTGTTCATTCTGGAGAACATTAATCCTTTTGCTTCACCCCCACAACCTAGATTCTGCTGGACAGCAGAC